CATATGGCTCCTGACTTCCTGGTTGTCAGATTCGGCTTCTCTCTGAATGTCACATCTGCCTTCCAGGTAAGAAATGGGGAAAGACCAAAAGCAACAGACCTCATTGCCAGCCAAAACTGTCTGTTTCTATGAGATGAGCAATGTCCTTCCCAGAACCTTCTGTTCTGTCTCATATACATGTCTAGTTGAGGGGGGATTTGAAAGGGTCAATATTTTTAAATGGGCACATTGCTTCATTGGGCAAAGTTGGGGCTCTGTTCTCAAGCAAAAAGAAGGGACTGGCTCAGGAATAGAGAATTAGCAATATCCAATACACCATCTCTTTGTAGGAATATGTTTGGGGAAGCTAACTTATTGTGTTATTAATATGGTGATATAAAATGAGAACCAAGATCTGGCATATAAAGGTACAAGATCCCAGTAATGAATATAACTGTACTGTATACCTAGAATGTACAAAAAAAAATCAATTTAAAAGGAAAAAAATGGTGATATAAATAGGGTTGCAGTAGGCAGATATTGTTTTCTCTGAACTAACATAACAAAGGCACAGGACTCTGTAGAAAAATGGAAGAGTTAGAAATGGAGGATCACAACTTTTTCCTCTGCACAAATACATAGGGTGTTGTTTTCTCCCCTAGGGTGGTTAAGCTTCTTCTCATTCAGCTTTCTAATCCTTAACATTACTTTTTTTTTAATACAATGAACTTAGGACTGGGCTATTAGGCCTTACTATCCACACTGAAATTATATATAGCTCCCTTTTATTTTATTTGCAGTGTTAGAGATCAAACCCAGGGCCCTGTGCATGCTAGGCAAGTGCTCTACCACTGAGCCTACCCTCAGCCCATGCTGATATTTTGGACTGGATGACTCTTTGATGTTGAAGCTGTCTTACATGTTGAAGGATATTTATCCTGTCCCCTGCCTACAAGATGTTAGTATCACCATCTCCCCACCCTTTACTTTTAATAACAATGCCATAGGTTTGCCACCACTGCAGACTAGTCTATTCTACACCATTAAAAGATGCTGATTTAATGTACATATTTTTCTGATTTGAAATAAGAAGTGTGCAATTCACCAGCAGTGAGTCCTAGCCCAGTGTGACTGGCATGAGTGCCTCCCAGCAAAGCTCATACTGCACATCTGCACAGCAGCTGGACTGGGCTCCAACTAGCATGGCTAGGGTGTCACTTACTGTACAGTATGCTCAACCCCTGTGTCCAAACCCAATGTCCCACAGGCAGAACTCATGGGGGCCAGAGTGAGCTGGCACCAAATAGAATGGCCAAATTTAGCAAGTAAAACTACAGACCAGACAGTTAAATTAGAATTTCACATGAACAATAAATAATTTTTGAGTGCAAATAAGTCCCCTATAATCCTGAATGGGAGTAATGTGTTCACATTTTCAATGTGGATAATTCCTAGGATCAGCTTTTGTTGCCAGACTTCATGGCAGTTCACACTGGCCAGCAAGTACTTCCTGTTCCTATCATCAAGTATGCTACCAGCCAAAAGCTCTGACAGCAGGTGACCAGACGTGGAATCTGTGCCCTCGCCCTGAACTTGAACCCCAGGTGGTGCCAAGCAAAGTCACCAGGCATTCAGATTACAGTGCTCAGTTCTGCACCTTTAGATCTTGAGTGCATCAGGGTCCTTTCCTTGTCCCTGAGTAAGTGATCTTCAGAGCGGCAGTGGCTTAGTTAAGCAGCTGTGTGCTGCTCCTTGTTTTCCATATCTGGGTGGCACTGGGAGTATGTGCCCTGGGCACAGGGCAAGATTGTGTTACCAGAGAAAACCCAGGTTGTTGCCAGTCTTCCCAGGGCCCAGCTGCTGGCAATGAAAAAGAAGAATGCTTTACTTTCCAGGTGAGGAGTTGACTTTTCACCTGGGAAGACTCAGAAGGTGTTCCGTAGGTGTGTGCCACCATGATTGCAGCCCCTGTGATGTCGTGGGAGGGCGCCTCCAATCTGCACACCATAGAGCTGTCTAGAGAGTCACAGTACCTATCAGTGTGCTAAAATCTGGAGAAACCCTTCATTAAGAAACCTGAAATGAATCTTCTCTAAGTTATCTGACTATGAGGTCTAGGATATAGAAGTTTTCCTTTTGTTTTTATAATTCTTAAATCAATGGTAAATATTTAAGCATAATTTTTTAAGAATTTCTCCTTTAAATGAGCATGTATTTGTGATACATAATAAATACAATCATCATGGTGGGTTGGTGCACATACAGATCACATCTTGATCCCCTTTTCCCCAGATCTACTTCCTATCTCTATATTTTAACTGAGAACAAACCATCTGCCCGGGGAAGCCTTTCTAGGGTGTGTACACACACACAGCCACAGAATTTTTACCTACATGGGGCTTTTATGAAATTTGACCCCTAGATTTCTGTCTAGTCGTAGACATTAAGTCTCAAAATAACTGCATTTCACATCAAGAATCTTGAATATACAGGAATTGGAACTCATCTAGTGAAGCAAGGTTTGATGTGTTATATACATACTTTCCAAAGTCCTTAGGTATTTTTATGCTGAATTTTAGTGGGGATACATAGCTTCTTTGTTTATTAATGTGTGCATGCCATTACACAAGCTTCCATTTATCATTGTGCTAAAACATGATGAATTATTACCTCAACTTGGCTTCTGAAACTCTGTCCTCAATAGCCCCTTTCCTTGGAAAGACTAGTTCTTGTTAGCCATTCATACCTGTTCCTTTCTTACACAATTATTTAGAAAAATAGAAAAATTAAATAGACTTGTAGCAGTTGTTCAAAAGCCAGTATTTTCAAAGTTTCAAGGTATAACACTCTAGCAATGACACAATATTCTACTTAAGAATTTGCAGTAGGCATTTGATATAAACAAAAAGATGTTTTAGACACTTTATTTCATTCAATTGCTTTTGTTATGTTAAACATGAGACTCTTTCTGCCTGTTGTATATGGGTCTTTTTCTTCCTTTTGTTGTTCATGCTCAACCTCCAGGACTTAAAAGGCTCTGTCTCTCACCAGGGGACCTTGTCCTCTAATCACCTAAGAGACTCCTCCTCTCAGTTCTCATGGACTCTATGCTGAGGCTCCTTGTGGCATTGTGCAGCTTGATCGTGGCATCATTTTCCTGTGTCCCATGATAGACTGACAGCTTTCTGCAGACACAGTACATTTTGTCCGAGATTACTGAGGAAGTCCTCTTGCAACTATCCTGGATAAGACCTTCACTGCTGGCTCTTTTCTCTCCTGGGATACCAGGCCAACCACAGATACTGACTTCCAAACTCTTCTTATGTGGCTGACTTCTGGAGAATGTGTAGTCTTCGGAGAATCTATTGGTCATTCTATGGACAATACAAACTTTGAAATATTAAAGTTATTTTTGAATGACAGAACCAATACAGTATTACACAGTAGGCACTAACATGGGGGAAGCAATCTTTTACTATCTTTGTATTTTAAACTTCATTTATTTCTGCTCTATTATCTCCTTGCTTTGGATTTAATTTGCTCCCTTCCTAGTTTCTTAAGGCAGAAACTTTGAGCACCAATTTTAGAACTTAGTACATGTTTGTAGTACTTAATACTTACATTCATCATGGGGTGTTGGTACATGTACATAACATATCTTAATTCTTTTTACTTCCCTTCATTCTCCTGTTCGGCTTTCTAAAAAGGAATTTGAAATAGCAAGCCTGAGAAAACCTTCCTGGAACTCAGCCTAATATAAGATCCATTTCTTTGCTGTTAATACTGGAGCCAGAAGCTTTCTGAAGGTGGGAGAAGGAAGAATGGATAAAGTGGTTAGTAATATAATTCCTCACTTACCTTTGCCTTCTCTTCTTGATAGAGTTGAATGGGATAGCATCACTGTTTCTCTCAGACTCCAAAAACAACGAGTTCAAGCTGCAAAAGTGAGACGATATCTGGGTGCCACAGAAAAATAGAGGAAGTTCTTTAATCACTTCTACATGAAAATTCTGCCAAAACTCTTTAAGGAACCCCAAAACTTGGGATGATAATCGATAGTATATATATTTTACTTTTTTCTGTCCCTGCTTCCGATCCCACCCAGTGCAAATGGACTCTAAGTCCAGCCCAGACTGTGGGAGAAGGCCTTAGGTGGGTTGTGAGTAGAAGATGTTCCCTCCTGCTGCCTGCTTCTATTAAATAGTGGCACTACCCTTTGACCCTGTTTGAATGGCAACACACATCATTGGCTCCCTTTGACCCTAATACCATTTTATAGGCTTAATAATAATAAATCTATGTCTTGAAACAGCTTCACATGCTATAGCAATCAATCAAAACTCAGAGAGCCCAAGACTATTAATGTCATCAGCAGTGAGGCAGCACCTGGGAATCCATCTAAATCAGCCACTGCAAAGGAAAACACACTGCAAGAACCTGCAGACAGAGGGAGAAGACAGGAGCATAAATTGCAATTCTGTTTCGTTCAGCCACGGAAGGATGATTTTCCTGGGAAAGTTTTGTCTACTCCTGGTAAGAAAGAAACCAGGACTTGCTGATTCCTACTCCAAAGTTATAAATTGGGAAGATTTTGCTGGCCCTGGGACCATGAGCATTTAAATGCTCTCTATGACAGCCTGGAAGCTTCACCATTGGAGATAGCGCTTTTAAAACTCCCCAGTGAGAAAAGTCAAGATGCTGCATTTTGCCTCCTTTGCAGATGGCCCCAGTTGCTCACATACTCCCTTTTGCAAGACAGATTATAAAGGGACACACAGCTGAGAAGGGCTCGCAGCTACATGGAGGTCCCAGACCCCCATACTGATGGTCTGTGGTTAATCCTTAAAACTGAGAGATGAGATCCATGCGCGTGCATCCACCTGGTCCGTCAAGCGGTGGCTTGCTATGCAGATGGGCCCTGCGGCCTAGCACCCTGGTGGTTCCCACTGCCGTGACCACACGCTGAGGCTCACGAGGGAGGGAGGGGTAGCCACCGAGATCTCCAGTACTCCACAGACAGCATGGCAGCCATCCCTTCCAGTGGTTCTCTCACAGCCATCCATGACTACTACGGGTGCCACCTGGGCTCAGCGTCCAGCAACAGCTCCTGCGGAAGTGTCGAGAACCCCGGGGAAGCCATCCCCTACCACCCAGGTCTCCCCAAGGCCGACCCAGGTCACTGGTGGTCCAGCTGCTTTTTCGGGAAGTCCACTGTCCCATTCATGGCCACAGTGCTGGAGTCCCCAGAGCACTCGGAATTCCCCCAGGCTCCCAGAGGCATGGTCACCAGTGGTTTGGCTTCGGAAACCACAAGGAAGCAGCCACTCAGCCAGCCCAGCTAGGCCAACACCAGGCCCTTGCCCTGACCTGAGGGTACCAGCAGTCAAGGCTTCCTAGGCCAGGTGGCCACCAGCAAAGGACAGAGACACTGCTCTTCAGGCCCCACTGAGCTTTCCTACCTCTCCCAAATGTGCCGTGCACCAAGCAGAAAATAAACTCCCAGCAGCCACGAGAGAGAGGGAGGGGGAGGGAGGGAGGGAGAGAGAGAGAGAGAGAGAGGGAGAGAGAGAGAGAGGGAGAGAGATGAGAGGTAGAGGAGAATGAAAAAATTTTCTTTTAGGCCTGTAGTTGGAATACTCCTAGGACTTCTAAGCCTTATTTTTTTAAAACAATCTGGTGCAGTGAAAGCATCTGAGATTTTGGAGCCAGAAAAACTGAGTTCTAGGCTTGGCTCTTTCACCATCTAGTTGTATGACCTTGAGCAAGTCATCTTGCCTTTGGAGCTTTTTCTGCATCTTGGTAATAGATAGTTTGCTCTAAATAAGGTATTCTAAGACAGTGATCTACAGACTAGTTCTGATATGGTTATTGTTTGGTTTTAGAATGACTTCAGCATCAGTGAATTCCGCATAAAGAAGCTACCATTTCACCTTCTGAAACAGTTGTTAATAATGGACCATCTCCTTATGTAGCAGCAGTGGTATTGTGGCGTGACTAATGGGTTCCTCTTTCTATGGAGTCTGCACTCTGCTCCAGGACCCTGGAGTCCCTTCATACTGTCCTGCTTGCCCCTATCCCTACAACTAATTCATATTCACTGCCTGACCCCTGTTGGCACAGGTTTTGGCAATTTCTAGATTACATGATCTTTGTAAAGAATAATGTTCCATTTTCATCTAAAAGTGTAGAACTATATTTTTAAAAACTTTTGAGCTAAAATCTGTTTAAAATATAATGGAAGATGGAAACCTGAAATAATTATGTAATGTCCAGATCCCACATTTTCATTCCTGCCTGCAAGTAACCAGTATGAATACACACAGTAACAGGTTGGTAAGTAACTTTCAACCTCAATTCACAGTAGAAAAATAAGAAATATTTTATTTTTATAGCCTCTCCCATTTTAAAATCCTTCCACACATACTAAAATGCTTCATCATAAACCTGAGGAAATAAGGACATTGCAACTTGAACCTCTCACTAAATGTAAAGTTCTTGAGCTAAAAGGATTGTGGACCTACTCAGGTCACTCACATCTTGCTCTTTCCCCTAGTGATGGCATTTCATGTCTAAATAATGCTCTTTGGTCCATATCTTCAGATTTTTGGATGACTTTTGGCTGCTTTATCTGTTAATATTTCTACTCTAATACAAACTCCTTGAGAAGCACCAAATATAATGATTTTGTAACTTATCTTACTTCCAACTAAACTGCCAAAGTTAGAACCATCCCAAGTGGTCACTACACACTTACCATGAAAGACTAGCTGGCTTTTGCAGTATTCCTACAGTGAGAATGTTCTTCACAAGAAGTCAGCTGAATCCATTTAGCGTAAGGCCCTCCAAACTCAAGATGAAGTTGCCCTGATTGTGGACACGTTCTGAGATTCCAGGTCCATTGTCTTTATCAGGTAAGCCCCATTCCCTGTCTTCACTTCTGCCCCTCAAAGCCTCCTCTTCCTTTGTCTTCATTGTGGATTAATAATAGCAAGGTATATAGAAATTTCCATTAAATAAATGCCTGTAAGGATAAATCATCTGCCCCTTCCCCTTTTGTACCTGTAACCACTATCTCAAGTGGAACTTGTAATCCTTCATGCTTTTCCTGATTAAAAGAAAGATCGATTCCAGGGCAGGGAATGGTGATCTTGATGATGTCAAATAATTTAATAAGCCATTAGATGCCAGGCATATCTATTGGGTTCATTTGTAGTCATTGCTGGCTCTCTTTTCTCTGAGCAATATGGCTGTTGAGTAGGACCAAGAAGGTGGTCGTCCATGCAGCAAGCTGCTAAAGGAGCCTTTCAATTTCAGTTTTAATAGGAAAATAAAATCAGTTACTGTATCAGCATTTCAGAAAAATCAGGTCATTCTATGGTCCATGGCTCTTTTATTATGATTGGAATGATGTCAATAGATATACACATAATAAAATGCAGCCTTGTAGCTCTGGGGAAACAGGCAAAAATGTTGGGTTTTCAAGTTTCACAAAATATTACTTTCCTGATACAATAAACCATGGTAGTTTGAGGAAGAGAGCAATGTCAATGTGGTCAGGAAGAAAGGTGAAGTTATAAGGTTCTGTAGAAAAAAAAGAAAAAGTAAAGAAAAATGAACACTGCAGAAACACCCAGTCTTCTTCCTCTCTTTGAGAGTGAAGTCCATGGTGTCCAGCCCATCTCAGTCCCACTAAATTATCCTGGCTACCAGTTCCTCACCTGGCCTTGAAATTAGGCACACTTGGTTTTGCACCTGGGTCCTCCCTCTTGCTAGGTGACCTTGGACAAATTACTTAATCTTTCTGGAGTCTTTATAGGAATTAAATGAGATCATGCTTGTAAAGTGCTTCTCACAGTGTTTGGCTCAGAGCCAGTGGTCAATAAATGGAGCCGTGATTAGTATCATTATTATTACTGGGCTTGGTCCTCAATGCCTTAATTGTCTGTGGGCCCCACCCTATCTGTGTCTTCCTGCCTCTCTGAACAACCTTCTCTCTGTTCCTGGGTTCCATAGCTGGGCCCTTGCCAGCTTCACCCCTCTAAAGCTAGGAGAGGATGGTGTTCTGTTCCTTTCTCTGGGGTTCAGGGTGATAACCTCTAGGCGCTTTCACATTCCTTAAGGCAAAGCTAAATCTCACCACAGAACCTCTTTAGGAACCTGGAGCCTGTGGGCACATGGTAGAGCCCAACAGGTCTGAGCAAATATGGACCACCCAGGTAGGAAATTCTAGACCTTGCAGCCCTACCTGGAGTCCCCAGGCTCTGCAGGGGAAATTATGGCACATTAATTCTTTGTTCGTGCACAGAAATGTACTTCCAAGATGCACTCAGATTTTCGGCACTAGTTCCAAGCACCCACCAGCATCCTTTGGACACGGGCTCCAGACTTCCCTACTCACATAGTGATTACCTCATGGCCAGTCAGGGATGCTCAAAACCTGAAGATGAGTGGATTTTTTTGAGCCCCCACTGGCTCTGTTATTATGATTTGTCTTGCTAACATTAAAAAATCAAGACTTTTTATATATAAGTTTGGATTTGAGGGTTTTCTTTAAAAAAAATAGAAGATATGGTAATACTGGGCCAACATGATTTGTGGTAGGAAAGCAGTAGTCCTCCATGTTTAATAACAAATAAAGTGCTCAATTTACAAGCATCTTACTTTACTCCTTTATATTATCTCTTTGTGCCACCAAATATTGGAGATTGCAAACCGTGAACCACAGAATACTCTACTTTCATCATGAATCATGACCTCTTAAACCTGGTAAGTCCCTAGGATTAATGTACCCAGAAAACTACTCCTAGAGAAATCAAGAGCCATGTCTAAAGTTCACAGAAAATTTGTGGCAAGAGAAGCTTGGGTTCCTAGGCTCCACCACTCTGCACTTCCTTTTCTAAGACATTATACTTTGTCTGCATCAGATTCTGGCTGCTGGGGCCTCTATCAATCCTCTGGCAGATATGAGGGTGTGAGCAAGGACGTGAAAGAACCACAGTCTCTCCCCCACCTGCCTTAGGACCTAAAATTCCTACCATTCATATAATATCATATTGCTTACCTGTGAAGCAGCCCACTGTATCATAAGTTGCTCTTACCTCAGAGTGACATGTTATTTAGAAAGTGTGCAAGAGTATAGAAAATGTACTCATGACAATTTTGAGTTGTACAAAGTGGTTAGCAAGATGAAAAGGACACAGTTGTGAGTCATGAGCCCTATGTAATGGAGGACTGTCTTGCACTTAATCTTTGTGCCTTGTAAAATAAGGTGTGACACGATGATGTTGGAGGACCTGACCAACTCAGGACACCCATGATTTGCCAAAGAGAAAGTACCCAGAGTGGTGGCTGCTCCTAGTGTGGCAGAAACTGCAAGAAAAGTCCTCTGAGGCCAAGAGCCTGAAAATTCAGGATCTGGGGGCTGAGGGCTAAAGGAAGATTGCCGGCAAGATGTTGAAAGAAATTGTTGTAGGAGCAGGAGAATGTTGGGCTTATAAAGAAGTAACTAAAAATATACCCTGATGTACAGTAAAGAATGTAGAGACCGTGGCTCATTTTGAAAGCACTATGGCATGATAGAGCGGATACTGGCTGTTGCGTTGTGAGACCTGGGCTCTAATTCTTTTCTCTGAAGGTTTCCATAGGCTGCCTTGGAATCTAGGCAAGGCCACCAATCAATGCTGTATTGTGCTTCTCATAGCAGATGTATTTTTGATGTGTGCCCTCTGTTTGTGTACAAAGTTTTCAGTTTTCAAAACTAGTCACAAGAAAATTATATGGCAAGAAAAGCACTGTGGATAGATTTGCTGTTTTGATATGTGACACAAAGGGTTATCAGAGCATCATCACTGGCCAGGAAAACTACTTGAATATTTTGAACAAAGTCATGTCAGCTTGCTAGGGATTCCATTGTTCATCTGAGTGAGTGAGTGTGTGTGTGTGTGTGTGTGTGTGTGTGTGTGTGTACAGGTGTGTTTGGCAAGACAAAGTGGACAGAATGAGAAAGGAGGGGAATGACACACACTTCGCCATCATGCCTTTGGACACAGGCCTTCTACCCTGGCTTAGAGAGAAGCAGCATCACATGAAGTCTTGGGTATCTTCCACCATCACAGTCCACACAAATGCCAGGAGCTCTCCGACCTGTCTGTGGCTGCATGCAGCTCTGCCATGAGCTGAAAGACCATGTGCTCTTGCCTGCTTTCCTAGTGCAGCAGTGGATCATAGCCATGTTCTTCTTCCAAACACTGGACATCTCAGGACTAACTTTATGGATGGTTCAGTGCCCCATGTGGTTGTCATCCTATGTTGGCCAATTAGAGTATCAGAATCAACAGTTCAA